CACCAACCAAAGCTCCAAATGACCTGCCTGGGCTGGTGGGCAGTGAGCGGGACACATTCCTTTACACGGGTGCTCCCCTCCCCCCCTCCCCCAGGGACATCCAACATCTCAGGACCCCAATAGAATGGCTCGGGGGGGAGGGCAGGCTGTTACCCACCTTCTGCAGGTGCTCCCACAGGTCCAGGTAAGTGGTGCTCTTGTAGGAAAAGGTCTGGAGATAGGACTGTGAAAAGAGGCCGCGATGAGGGATAAACTGATGCTCCAAGCTCCACCACTCCGCCCGGGTGGTAGGCTGGGCTTGGGGTCCAGGGCAGGGCTGGAGGGAAGACACCCCCCGCCCGCGCCCCCAACCCAGGGCTGGCCCAGTGCACTCACCGCCAGGCCCTTCTTGAAGAGGTCCTCAGTCAGGAAGCTGGAGAGCATCCTGATCACAGAGGCTCCCTGGAGAGAGGGAGGGGTGCTCAGAAAGCTGTGCCCAGCCAGCAGGACCCTGTGACGCCACCCGGCTGGGACAGGTGCTCCCAGACCCCCACCCCCATCCCCACCCCCCGCTCCCGGTGTCTGGAACTAGCACGCATGCCGGCAGCACCTTGCTGTAGGAGATGGAGTCGAACATCTCGCTGATCTGGGCCGGCGTGTTGACCTCCTCGGCTGGGGTGCACAGCGGGTGGGAGGAGGCCAGGGCGTCCACCGCCCCAGGTACTCCACGTAGGAGGCGAAGCCCTCGTTCAGCCACAGGTCATTCCACCAGGCCACCGTCACCAGGTTGCCAAACCACTGTGGGGGCGGGGGGTCAGCCCTGGAGCTGCTCTGGCCTCGTGGCCACCAACACACCCAGAGCAACCCTTCAGGAGTGCCCCCAGGTGCCAGGCCGGGGCTGGCGACTTCTGACATCACTGTGACTCCCACCTGCTACCTCTCTTCCCAGCTACCAAGGGGGGACCTGTGCCCTCCCTCCCCCCGCCTTCCCTGCACTCCCCATGCTGCGCGGGCTACCTGGTGGGCCAGCTCGTGCGCAATCACGGTGACCACACGCTCCTTGTTGCTGCTGGAGGAAGAGTCGGGGTCGAAGAGCAGAGAGTTCTCCCGGTAGGTCACCAGCCCCCAGTTCTCCATGGCGCCGGCGTTGAAGTCGGGCAAGCCGATCTGGTCTGGGGAGGCCAGGAGGTTGGCAGGACGGCCTCTGGACGCGGAGGCCTGCCCCCCCCACCCCCCAACCCGCGAGATCCGTCACTCACCGGATTTATCAAGAGGGTAGGATGTGTTGTAATGTTGGGCAAAGAAGTTGAGGATGCGGCCTGTCACGTTCAGGGCATACTGGCCGTGGCCCGCTGTGGTTGCGCTGGGGCGAGCCCAGATCCGGATCTGCAAAGAGGATGGAGGTAGGTCGGGGGCCCTCTCGGTCCTGGCGCAGGTGGGCCGAGGGCAGGGCTTGGATGAGGTGAAACCAGGCGGCCTGGGCAGCAGAAGAGAGGGCTGGGGGTCCCTGAGGGGCTTTGAGTCCTAGGGAGGCTTCTTTGGGGAGAGCAACAGCCATAACCACGACGTCTGTCTGGCACCCGGGGGTCGGGAACTCCCTCCAGAAGGAGAGACCCACTTTTCAGATGCAGAGACCGAGGGTCAGGGAACTCCCCAGAGCTGGCCTGACAAACTCAGGGGCTGGGGTAAACAGGAAGATCCCTCAGGCAAGGCCAACCCCGGTAGGCCAGGCGGGCCCAGCTTCGTACCAGGACGTTTTGATTGGTCGACATGGCCTCCGTCATGTTCACATACGTGAACTCGCTGACGATGTAGGCCAGCAGGTACGTAGACATGACCGGTGTGGTGTGGAACTCGGTGACGTGCCACGTGGGGTCGTCCGGAAATGGGGTGCTGGGACCTGTGTGTGGAACGTTCAGGCAGGTGGGCGGGCACCCTGTCTCCGGCCCTGCGCCCCCCGCCCTGGGGCGCCGGCTCCCCGAGGCTGTGTGGCCCCAGGAGAGACCTGCTCACCTTTGGGCAGCATGTTGGACAGGGCCGTGAGGTTGTGGGGGTGGATGAGGGTGATGTTGAACCTGGCCTTCATGGCGGGCTCATCAAAGCAGGGGAAGGACTTCCGGGCATCAGCAGACTGCATCTGGGTCGTGGCCAGCACCCTGCCCAAACCAGGTGTTAGAGGGTTGCCCGGGGAATGCCTGCACCCGTAGGGGTGGGGAGGGGGGCCGGGGAAGGGGTGCCCGGACAGCCGGTCTGTCCTAATCCCTGCCCTCCCCTCCTGTCCAGGCAGCCCCTGATAGGCCAGCTGACTCTGGGAGATCAGCGCTCCTTCCGGACTCAGGGTCAAAGTCCCGGCAGCTCCATCCCGTGTCAGCTGGAGCCCATCTTTCTCTCCGCTGATCGGTTTTCCTGTCTAAACCGGGGACCCGTTCACCACTCATCCCTGACTCCCTATGGTGGGGCAGGAGGCCTCCGGGAAAGGGTTTGTTGTCTTGGTAGCTGCTCCCCGGGAGTTACAGAGGAAGGAAGGGCCCGGCGAGGGCTCCCCCAGGTTCAAAGGCCTCAGACCCACGCCCTCCCTGGGCCCCCAGGCTCCAGCTCTGCCTCCGCGCCTGGATCTGCCAGCGGCACCGGGCGGCCGAGGTCCGACTTACTTTTTGTCGTTACCGTCCATGTACTCGCTGCGGTAGAAGCCCGCCAGGTCGTCAGCCAGCTCGCCCTGGAACTTGCTGTTCATCTCGTACATGACGCCCCTCTCCAGCTGGCCCTTCAGGTGCACCACCAGGTACTCGGTGACCTCCACCAGCTCGGTCCTGTCGATTTCGGGGGCCTTGGCGCCCCCCACGGCCTGCAGGGTCACCCGGTGCCCCTGGATGTCGGTGTAGTTGAGCTTCTTGCTGTGGATGATGATGACGTCGGTGGGCTCCTGGCACGTGAAGCGGACGGTGCTGGAGCCCTCGAAGATGTACAGGCCGTGCTGATTGGTGGTGAGGTAGGGCCTCAGCGTCACCTGGTAGGAGTCGGGTACCAGCGACCTGGGGAGGCGATACCGGTTCCACGGCTTGCTCTGGTCCATGGAGGTGGTGGGCAAGGTGGTGGTGGACAAGGAGGTCACGGTGGGCTTGCTCTGGTCCAAGGTGGTGGTGGACAAGGTGGTCACGGTGGGCT